GTGCGCTGAGCTGGGGAAATGGAGGCCGAGAGCTGTTGTTGAATCGGTGGCGGTACGCAATCTCATAGGTGACGCATCAACCGTGCCAAACGGGAAGGGTAGGTTGTCTAGCCTACCGCCCAGGCAGCCTACCTTGGCATAGCTTTCGGCAGTGGGAACCAAGTCAGGGCCACACGGGTCTAGAGGGAGCGCAAACACGAGCTCAGGATAACCAAAACTCACAGGCTCACGATGGCCACGAGGCAGTACCAGGCGATGACGACGCTCCAGCGACAAGGAGGACTCCCTTCGGGGGTCTACGGCGACCAGGTGCACTGGATTTTCGGCGAACATCCCACGCGGTGCAGGAGACGCCTGGCTCACACGTGCGCCCCGGCTGTCAAGGGCAGGTGCTTAATTACCGCACATGCCCTTCGCGCACCAGGAGCGGACTCAGCAATCCTCTACCCGACCAAGACGGTGGTCACCTGGCTCAAGACCTGGAGGGACCATCCAGAAGCGCGGCAGGAGGTGCGCAGGATCTGGGGGCCCATCCTGCAGCAGATGCGGTCGGTGCCAGTGCCAGGCCAAGTGCGCCTCGTCAAGGGGCCGACTTCTACCATCATACATTCGCTTGGTGTAAAGATAACAACACAGGATCCTTCCACTTTGTCATACCAGGCCAGGGCTGAACGCATCGGAGAATGACAGTTTCCTGATCACATCTGTACTGGGCATCGCGAGCTGGGCCGCCCCGATGCCTTCCTTGACGACATGACGGATTCGCGAGGATCAGATTTGGACCCAGGCCGCCTAACATGTTTGTGGAGATGTACTTGCGATAGGAGTAGGCATGACATCGTATCGCCAACTGCTGCAGCGGGCGTCCCAACTTGAGCACGGCAAGCGAGTGTGCGAAATCATAGTGGTGGTGGCAGCAGGGCGGCACGTGGAACAAGCAGCGCAAGAAAGACCAGCTGAAGAACTACACTAGATCGGATTTGTGCAACCGATGCGGGGACCACGTCGAGACTCCCCTGCACCGCTACTGGAATTGCAGATTCACTGCGGAGGCATCTCCTTGCGTCGACTCGGATGATCGACGCCCGCAGGCCATCGCCCAGTGCAACTCCGACGAGGCTTTCTGGTTGCGACGCATGCTGCCTGCGCCTTGGACCGACGTCTCCCCACCCCCGGGTGAGGACAACTGGCAGTTTGCTGGCGCGCTGTTTGGATGTTCCGTGATGCTAGCGAAGGGGCCGACACCAGCAGCCCCGAGCTGTGCAGAGCCGACTTGGCAATCACCTGCCTTCCGCAGAGACACACACAATTCCTCAAGGCAGCATGTTCTGACAGCTCAGTCCCAGTCCCACGCCGCCCCCCCTTATTGGCGTGGATCTCTCTCTTTGCCATCGCTCACCGCCTACACGCCGGCCGGCGCTTGCCGCACCCAGTGCGGCGCACTTGGCCTGCCGGCGCACCGCCCTTTCGCCTCCCGCCGCGCCTCGTAGGCCCCCGCGTCTCGGCGCTCCGGCCCACCCCCTGGGTCCGCTCGCCCGCCCACCTGCTGGCACTCCCAGCTCTACGCCGCTCCCCCTGGTGGCGCGGCTTCGCCTCTTCGTCCTTCGTCCCACGCCTTCACGCCGGCCTGCGGTTGCCGCCCCAGTGCGGCCCTCTCGCGGCAGCCTGCGCTCCGCCCCTCACGCCTCCCGCCGCGCCTCGTAGGCCCCCAGGTCTCGGCGCTTCGGCCCCCTGGGACCGCCTGCTCTGCCGGCTCCCCCTTGGTGTGGTCTCCGCTTCGCATGTGCTGCTCCCCCCTCTGGCTCTGCCCGGCCCCCGCTTGGCTGCCGTCCCCCCCGCCCCCGGCTGCGGCCCAGCGCCGCAGCTGGTTCCTCCCCCCACGGCGCTCCCCCCCGCCGCAGCCAGTGTCTTGCCTGAGCGGGCAAGGCTTCCCCTCTTCCCGTCGCGACGGGGCCTCCTCCTCTTCACTCGTGCATCGCGGCCTGAAATTTGCATACAGTGCGCCCCCTGATGCCCGATCGCCGGAGCAGTCACCCTCTGCCCAGCCGCCGACGCAGAAATCTGACAGTTCAGTGGCAAGGGACAAGCCGCTGCTCGTGGTGAATTGAAATGTCTGTAACTCGCTCGCTGGGGTTCAACTGCCCCACCTTTGTCACAGACTGTGACTATGTCACGACGGGGGTGATGCGAACAGCGTGTCTTACAAACCAGGGGCGAGGATGCCGACGTGTGGGCTACCAGGAGCGACCTAGCCACGCTTCGGATGTTGTCCCATGTTCCTGGTCTACTGACGCAATCACATGTGACGTCCACCCAAATGACCAACAGTGTTGATTGCTCGCAGTTTCTGTTGGGCAATGATTTTGTTGATGACTTCGCGGGCCTGACCGCCAGCCAAGCCCGCGTACCCAAGTGTGGAAGGACTCGCAGTTTGTACACGAACGAATGGCACGATTGCTGCGGATGTGGCTCCTTCGAGGCACGCTGGATTGCCTGGAGAAAAGAAACAGCTGGCGCGCGAGAAACAAATGAGCCCTCCTTCTACTCAATCCTCCTCGACCCTCGAACCTCAATCCTTCTCTCCGATCCTCCTTATCCGCATCCGCCTTCTCCGCATCCTCCTCCACCTCCTCATCCTCCGATGATTCTTCCTCCTCCAACCCTAATCCCACTCGATCGATCTCATCATCCTGGATCTTATTGGATCCTTCATCATGCTGCTCCTCCTCTTCCTCCTCCTCCTCATCCTCATCCTCCTCCTCCATCATCTTCCATCCTCCATCATCCCTCTTCCTCGTCGCCCTCCTCCTCCTCCTGTTCCTCCTCCTCCTCCTTCTCCTCCTCCTCCTCCCCCTCGTTCTCGATCCTCTATCATACAAAATGTTCCTCCACATCCTCGATCTGCCTCCTAATCCTCGGCCTGCTTATCGATCTTCTTCGCTTCGATCTTCGATACTTGTTTTCAGGGTCCTGAAAGGCTTATGCGAGGCTCCCTAGGTCGTGGGAGAGTCCTGAGAAGGTCCTGGGATTGACTCTGGGAAACGAGGCTCCCGCTCGATAGGTCTGTACACTTTGATCGCAAACGCTCGACAAGCACCCTACCCGACACCAAAACATGTCATGCGACATACCCATCCCAATCGCATCTAGTGACAAGAAGAATTGGCCCAAATCAGTACTGGTGATCGTAACGCAGGAACCGTCATCTGCTGTGAACCTACCTCACATGCGCGCGTTGCCACGACTCGTAGGACCGCCACGGGAGGACGAGAGAAGAGGCCCCCCAAGGATGGCGAGGTCCCGCTCTAATCTGCGTAGCACGGCACTAAACTAGCACCCCCCCTCCTGGTGCCCACGAAAGTGGCGAAAGTTTCGTCATTCGTAGACACCCAAAGATGGCGGTGTCCCGCCCTGATCTGCATAACACCGTACTGAGCTGCCCCCCTCGGCAACGCTAGTAGCGACGGTCTCGCAGTTCGTATCCCCACAGGAATGGCGAGGTCCCAGTCTGATCTGCGTAGCGCAGCACGAAGCTGCCCCGCAATCCCCGCACCCATCGAAAGTGGCGACTGTTTCGAATTTCGGAGTCCCCCAGGATGGCGAGACTCCGCTCCGATCTGCGTAGCATCGCACTAAGCTAGCCCACACAGGAGCCCACAAAGATTGCGACGATCGCAGTCCATAGCATCCCACGGATGGCGAGATTCCGCTCTGATCTGCGCATAGCTACGCATACCTCGAAACTGGCGACAATCTCGCAGCTCGCATCCCATCTTTGATGGCGATGCTTTGCGTGGCACAGCCTGAAACTCCCCCCAACCCAGGAAACCACGAACCCACGAAAGCGGCAATGATCTCGCAGCGCATAGCTCCCCACGGATGGCGAGGCCCCGCTCTGATCAGCGTAGCACCGCACTAGGTTGCCCCCCCAGGAGCACACGAAAGTGGCAACGGCCTCGCAGCCAATAGTCACTCCAAAGATGGCGAGGTCCCGCTCTAATCTGCGTAGCGCCGCACTAAGCTGCCCCCCTCAGCAACCCTTCAGAGTGGCGACAGTTTCGCACTTCGTAATCCCCCAAGGTCGGCGAGGTCCTGCTCTGGTCTGCGTAGCATGGCACTAAGCTGCCTCCCTCCCTCCACAGGCCTCGAAACTGGCGACGGATTCGCAGTTCGCAGCCCCCCAGGGCTGGCAAGATCCCGCTACGATCTGCGTAGCACCGCACTGCGCTGCCCCACTCAGCAGTCCCTCGGCACAGCGGCGACAGCCTCGTCATTCACAGCCCCCGGGGATCCCCCCAGGCAGGACGGCGAGGTAGGAGAAAGGCCGGCAGGCAGGGAAGAGCCTGGCAAGAGGTCGGGAGAGAAGAGGAAGAGGGAAGAGAGGAGAGCGGGGGGCGGGAGGAAGTTTGGAGACCGCAGTGCTATGCGAAAAACGCACACGATTACCCAACGCACGAGGGTCGGGGATAAGCGAGGGCAGCTCGTCGGCAGAGCTCGGGGAAGCTGCCGCGACCCCTAGGAGAGACCCTGGGCTCCACTTTCAACGCAACCTACACCAAGAAGAGACGCTGGCAGGGATCGGCGGCCGCGAGGGTTAGGTCGGGCATGTCCCTCTACAGGCCGAGTTGGGACGAAAAATTAAAAATTGTCCAACAATACTCCAAAATGGTCAAGAATAGTCGAAAAAATCGTCCCCATACGATTGTTTGACTGTTTTCCAGTATTCCTCCCGTAGAGGGACACGCCCGACTCAACGCGAGGGAGCAGAGCGAGCGGCGGCACCGTGCGAGCGACGGTGGGGCGCACAGCCGCAGCGAAGCGTGGCACGGGAGGCGGGGGAGGCGCGCGCGGAGCGCGGGGAGGAGGGCCGGAGGAGGGCCGGAGGAGGCGAGGGGCCAGGCTCGGGGCTCCAGGGCCAGGGCCCAGCAAAGAGAGGGCGCCTGCCTCGAGCCCCGCCAGGGGAGGACTCGAGAGGGGGGGGGGGGGGCGCCGCGGGTCTCCAGGGCGCAGTTCGCGGCGCAGGACTCGGGGTCGGGGCACTGGGCCCGGTCCCACACCCCGTCGGTGAAGCAGTTGCCCGAGGAGGAGCACTGGGCGCCCGGGCCTGTGCCTCGGAGGGGCGGATCGGAACCCAGACGTCGGACTGTCAAGTCCGGGCGGTGTTCCCTCTTCCTTCTTTTCTCATTCGGCCCCTCCGGGTGGTCGTTTTCGGGCCCCGGGGACGTCGAAAAGGACTCCGAGACGGACCTCCCCGTGGTCGCGGATTCACAAAAAAAATAACACCGGCGGATGTCTGGGGAGGAGGAGGGAGCAGAGCGGAAGGAGGACAGAGGGGGAGGGAGGCAGGAGGGAGAAGTGGGGAGGGGCCATGGTGGAGAAGGCTGGTCGTGTTTCCAGTCGCCCGGCCCTGGCATGTCTGGCCATGAGACCACCGCCAGTTGGCGTCCAGGGTAAGCGCCCTCTGCTGCGCTTCGCAGCCTCCCTGCAGGGCGCACTCCGCGATTACGAGGGGAGGCGGCTGCTCCTCTAGAGACCTCCCAAACAGGGTCCGAGTGGATGGGTAGAAGGATAGCGCCGTTTCACCGATGCAGCGGCGATACATCGGCGAAGACGGCGTGGAGAAAAACGGGCTCCACATCGAGCCGCTTCGCTGATGCATCGGCGATGCGGCGCGATCCTCCGACCCCATCTACTCAGACCCCAACTGGGAGGCCTCGATCCAGAGACTCCCAAGGGTGTGGTTCGCAAAAGGGTGTGGTTTGCAACCCGCGCCTGGGGGGGGGAGGCGGGCGAGAACCTCGACAGAGATCTCCGCCGCGCGTGGATGAGCGCTCAGCAAACCTCTGGCGCAACATGGTGACCTCCCAAGCTCCGATGGCAACGAGCGGAAACCACCCCCTGGCGTAACCACACCCACTCAGAGGAACAAAAACAGCTCGCACAAACACAACACCTCGGAGGTCCGCGCGGACCTCCGAGATGCCATGTTCATGTCATTGGCTGTTCCCCTGCCGTTGTCATCGCCGATGGATCCTCTTTCGTCGAGCCAGCCAGCTGCGCGGCGGCAGCGGCGGGGAAGCACGCGATCGCGCAGCAGCGCAGCATGGCCTGGGCAGCTGCCGCAGCCGCGCCCGGCACCTCGACGCCGACCACCGCTCTCGGCTCGGCGAGCGGCGCGGCAGCCGCAGTGGCTCCGACCAGAGAGCCGCGAGGAGGAGGAGGATCGAGGAGGAGGGGATAATGAGGGTGCAGGGAGGAGGAGGGAGAAGGGAGAGAGGGAGGGAGGTGGGAGGAGGGAGGAGGGAGGAGGGAGGAGGGAGAAAGGGCGGAGGAGGTGGGAGGAGGGTCCGACGCGATGCGATGCGACCAGCGTCCAGGCCTAGTTCAGATCAGGTGGGTGAGGCGGTGACCTCGGGAATCTGGTTTGTCTGGATACGAGCAATGCGAGACACACAAAAATTAGGAGGAAGGAGGACGAGGAAGGGGGGACCAGACCAGGACGAGCTTCCGTGTCGCCTAGCTTCGCACATGACGCCCCGCGATGCATCGCCCCCCGCGATGCGCGATTATTGTCGCACCCCCCGTACGCGACCCGGAATTATCGAATTCGTCTAATCAGAGCGCGTGGGCAATCTGGGTACGCCTGTCCACCGCACAAATTGCTCTCGGACACGCGCAGCTCCGATCAGGATACCTCCACGCGGGGGAGGAGGAGGAGGAGGAGGAGGAGGAGCAGGAGGAGGAGGAGGAGGAGGAGGAGGACGAGGAGGAGGAGGAAGAGGAGGAGGAAGAGGACGAAGGAAAAAGAGATTTGCACAAAAAGCTGCATGACAGCGACGACCACATCATCCACACCGACACCAGTCTGCAAAGCTCGCAGGCGTCGACACCCTGGGAGACGGAGTGCTGGGGGCGCTGGCCTTCAAACTTCTGGGCCGGCCAGTCCTCCAGGCCAACCTGCCCGATCATCCCGGCATGCAGGGACGTCGACGAGAGCGTTTGGGGAGCCAACTGGAGCTGGTGGGCCACGCTTGCAGGCGGCGCCCGCACCAACACGCGTACAATCTGCACCAGGAGGAGGAGGAGGAGGAGGAGGAGGAGGAGGAGGAGGAGGAGGAGGAGGGGGAGGAGGAAGAGGAGGAGGTCTCTATCCGTCGCACGCTCGTAAAGCGCGGCAGGCGTAGCAGTTCATCGACGCGAGAGGGGGTGCGCAGGGGGTGCGGTCTGTATCCGTCGCACGCTCGCAAAGCGGAGCAGGCGTGGCATTTCCTCCACACCAGGGGGGGCGCAGGGGGTGCGGTCTGTACCCGTCGCACGCTCGCACAGCGCGGCAGGAGTAGCAGCTCCTCGACACCAGGGGGGGGGGGCGCAGGGGGTGCGGTCTCTATCCGTCGCACGCTCGCAAAGCGCGGCAGGCGTAGCAGTTCCTCGACACGACAGGGAGTGCGCAGAGGGCGCCGTCACGCTCGCAAAGCGCGGCAGGCGTGGTAGTTCATCGACGCAAGAGAAGGTGCGCGGGGGGTGCAGTCTGTATCCGTCGCACGCTCGCACAGCGCGGCAGGCGTGGCAGTTCCTCGACACCAGGGGGGGGCGCAGGGGATGCGGTCTCTATCCGTCGCACGCTCGCAAAGCACGGCAGGCGTATCAGTTCCTCGACACCAGGGGAGCGCAGGGGGTTGCGGTCTCTATCCGTCGCGCGCTCGCAAAGCGCGGCAGGCGTGGTAGTTCATCGACACGAGAAGGGGTGCGCAGGGGGTGGTGTCTGCATGCGTCGCACGCTCGCAAAGCGGAGCAGGCGTGGCATTTCCTCCACACCAGGGGGGGCGCAGGGGGGGCGGTCTGTATCCGTCGCACGCTCGCAGAGCGCAGCAGGCGTAGCAGTTCCTCGACACCAGGGGGGGTGCGCAGGGGGTGCGGTCTCTATCCGTCGCACGCTCGCAAAGCGCGGCAGGCTTAGCAGCTCCTCGACACCAGGGGGGCGCGCAGGGGGCGCGGTCTCATCCGTCGCACGCTTGCAAAGCGCGGCAAGCGTGGTAGTTCATCGACACGAGAGGGGGTGCGCAGGGGATGCGGTCTGTATACGTCGCACGCTCGCAAAGCGCGGCAGGCGCGGCAGTTCCTCGATCGACACCAGGGGGGGGTGCGCAGGGGGTGCGGTCTGCATCCGTCGCACACTCGCCAAGCACGGCCGGCGTAGCAGCTCCTCGACGCCAGGGGGGTGCGCAGGGGGCGGTCTCTATCCGTCGCGCGCTCGCAAAGCGCGGCAGGCGTGGTAGTTCATCGACACGAGAAGGGGTGCGCAGGGGGTGGTGTCTGCATGCGTCGCACGCTCGCAAAGCGGAGCAGGCGTGGCATTTCCTCCACACCAGGGGGGGCGCAGGGGGCGCGGTCTGTATCCGCACGCTGGCAAAGCGCGGCAGGCGTCGCAGCTCCTCGACACCAGGGGGGGTGCGCAGGGGGTGCGGTCTCTATCCGTCGCACGCTCGGTGCGGTCTCTATCCGTCGCACGCTCGCAAGGCGCGGCAGGCGTGGTAGTTCATCGACACGAGAGGGGGTGCGCAGGGTGTGCGGTCTGTATCCGTCACACGCTCGCAAAGCGCAGCATGCGTGGCAGTTCCTCGACACCAGGGGGGTGGGGAGGGCGCAGGGTGCGCGGCCTGCATCCGTCGCACGCTCGCAAAACACAGCAGCCGAAGCAGTTCCTCGACACCAGGGGGGGGCGCAGAGAGCGCGGCCTCTACCCGTCGGACGCTCGCAAAACGCGGCGCGCGTGGTAGTTCATCGACACGAGAGGGGGTGCGCAGGGGGTGCGGTCTGCATCCGTGGCACGCTCGCACAGCGGAGCAGGCGTAGCATTTCCTCCACACCAGGGGGAGGCGCAGGGGGTGCGGTCTGCATCCGTCGCACGCTCGCAAAGCGCGGCTGGCGTAGCAGGTCCTCGACACCAGGGGGGGGGGGGGGTGGGGGGAGCGCAGGAGGTGCGGTCTCCATCCGTCGCACGCTCGCAAAGCGCGGCAGGCGTAGCAGTTCCTCGACACCAGGGGGGGGGCGCAGGGGCGCGGTCTCTATCCGTCGCACGCTTGCAAAGCGCGGCAGGCGCGGTAGTTCATCGGCACGAGAGGAGGTGCGCAGGGTGTGCGGTCTGCGTCCGTCGCACGCTCGCAAAGCGCGGCAGGCGCGGCAGCTCCTCGACACCGGGGAGGGGGGGGGGCGCAGGGGGCGCGGTCTGCATCCGTCGCACGCTCGCAAAGCACGGCAGGCGAAGCAGTTGCTCGACACCAGGGGGGTGCGCAGGGGGGCGCGGTCTCTATGCGTCGCACGCTCGCAAAGCGCGGCAGGCGTGGTAGTTCATCGACACGAGAGGGAGTGTTCAGCGGGTGCGGTCTCTATCCGTCGCACGCTCGCAAAGCGCGGCAGGCGTGGCATTTCCTACAAACCAAGGAGGGGGGGGGGCGGGGGCGCAGGGGGTGCGATCTGCATCCGTCGCGCGCTCGCAAAGCGCGGCAGGCGTCGCAGTTCCTCGACACCAGGGGGGGTGCGCAGGGGGTGCGGTCTCTATCCGTCGCACGCTCGCAAAGCGCAGCAGGCGTAGCAGTTCCTCGACACGAGAGGGAGTGCGCAGAGGGGCGCGGTCTCTATCCGTCACACTCTCGCAAAGCGCGGCAGGCGTGGTAGTTCATCGGCACGAGAGGGGGTGCGCAGGGAGTACGGTCTGTATCCGCCGCACGCTCGCAGAGCGCGGCAGGCGCGGCAGTTCCTCGACACCAGGGGGGGGCGGGGGCGCAGGGCGCGCGGCCTGTGTCCGTCGCACGCTCACAAAGCACGGCAGGCATAGCAGTTCCTCGACACGGGCGGGGGTGCACAGGGGGTGCGGTCTGTATCCGTCGCACGCTCGCAAAGCGGAGCAGGCGTGGCATTTCCTACAGGCCCGGGGGGGGGGGGGGGGGGGGCGCAGGGGGTGCGGTCTGCATCCGTCGCGCGCTCGCGAAGCGCGGCAGGCGTAGCAATTCCTCGGCACCAGGGGGTGCGCAGGGGGTGCGGTCTCTATCCGCCGCACGCTCGCAAAGCGCGGCAGGCGTGGTAGTTCATCGACACGAGAGAAGGTGCGCAGGGGGTGCAGTCTGCATCCGTCGCACGCTCGCAAAGCGCGGCAGGCGCGGCAGTTCCTCGACACCGGGGGGGGGGGGGGGGGGGGGGGGGGGGGGGCGCAGGGTGCGCGGTCTGCATCCGTCGCACGCTCGCAAAGCACGGCAGGCGCAGCAGCCCCCTGACACCAGGGGGTGCGCAGGGGGTGCGGTGTGCATCCGTCGCACGCTCGCAAAGCGCGGCAGGCGCGGTAGTTCATCGACACGAGAGGGGGTGCGCAGGGGGGGCGGAGGAAGCTCTACTGATGGCGGTACGTGTGAGAATAGAAGGAAGTGGCTTACGATTGTTGAGCCAACCCCCTCTGCACGGGGTGACCAGGTATGCGCGCGGCCAGAGGCGCCAACTGCACCTGCTGAGCCTCCAGCCCCTGCCAGCAATCGTCGGAACCTCATCGTTCAGGCGTCGAGATCAGCGGCAGCTAAGAAGAGCAAGACTGGACCAGGCCCAGCGCCTACGCCAACGCCTACGCCAGCGCCAATATCTGAGAACAAACGTAGAAGGCACCATAAAACATGGTCGGCGTGAGCGCCGATGACCCTTTCCTCCAGGCTTGCTAAACAACGATGCATGCTGCCAGTCCGTGGACACAACAGATGGATGATACCATTCGACGCGTTGGCTCCCAGCATTCACGATCGCACACACGTCGTAGAGAAGGTGCAAAAACTGTTGGTATCCGCCCGTGGGGATTGCCCTTTGAGACGGTGGGTGGGGACGCTTGGTTTGACAACTTATCCTGGACTCAGACGGGGTGGAGGAGTTCTGTACGCACGTTACTTAGAGGATGGAACCTTCAGCATATCCTAGAGTATGCACTACTTCCTGTACGTCCTGAGCCGCAGCCCTGCAGGCCGAAAAACCACGAGAAGGAGGAGGTGTCGGAGGAGACCAACGATACTATTGCCAAACGTCTTGCCTTCAACTTTGAAAATGCCAGCGCATGGAATTATGAGGCCAAGGGTGCCCCTATTGAGCTCAACGGTGGCCCCCAGGTGGTGGTACATTGGCTTGTGGGACAGTATGCACGACGGCGGTGCATTGCGACACGATTGCGCATTC